GCACCGCTCATCGCCACTGCTGTGGGCGCCCCTCCGGGCTGGGTGGCGGAGGTCGCGCGCTGGGCCGGGCCCTGCCGGGCCGGGGCCGTTCGTGCAGCCCGCAAGGCTGAGCACGCTGATCCAGATGAATAACAGAAAGATGCTTTTCACCAGCCTCAGTCTATTTTGCTTGGGGATCCCTGGCATGCTGGGTGAAATGCTGCAGATGGGTTGCTTTTTTCTCTCTCTCAATTCTTAAAATGGTTGCTATAGACCTAGAGATTGTGGGAAGAAAAGTCTGGCCAGTCTCTGGTTGCTGCTACTGACTGCCTTGTGTGGCAGATGGTCTCCACTGCACGAGGCCTCTAGGTCTGTAACCATCCAGAACTTTTGTAACTGGAAGAGTCTCGCCTAGTGCCCGGGGCTCAAGGCTGCTGGGGAAAAACGCTGACTTGCAGCTGTAGGATGGAAGCTCGTATCTTCTTCCTGGCCTGATTATTGCTGGATGAACTTTCTAGTTCTGCTGACAATTAGGTAAGTGGCTGAAGGTAAAAGAGAAACCTGGCTTGGTTTTTAATACAGATGATGGTCGAACAAAACCAGTCCCACGGAAAGGCCACATAGAAGGATTTGAGCCAGCAGATAACAAGTGTCTTCTGAGGGCAACGGATGGGAAAAAGAAGATTAGCACCGTGGTAAGCAGCAAAGTTGGGCTAAAGAAGTAACGTGCAACTCCACTTAAACCCTGAATAGCTACTTGCATTGTTTAGGCTGATTGTCAGTTGTAGCTCTCAAAACTTTAGCTTTCTTTCACGAGTGGTACTTAAAATTCTGTCAGGCATGGGAGCCAGGCAATTTTCAGGGTAACTAAAGGTAACTTGAACATGTTTGGATGCTTGGAGACAGCTCAAGTGTTTTTGACAGTAGAATCTGTGTGTGAATGGATAGGAAAAGAGTGCTGTGTTTGGAAATTAATCTGGAACATGCTGTGGAATAGCCTCTTGTGTAAAAAAAAAAACAACAAAAAAACCCTATTTTCAAATAGAAGTTGGACTCTCTCTGCCTTCTGACAAGTGGCTTATTTTGAACAAGTTTTTTTTTTTTTTTTTTTCCAACTTATGAGACCTGTCACCAATCATTTTCTTTCTTGTGTGCCCCTCTACAGTAATATCCGTGTAACTGAACACTGAATCTGATCCATTGGTCAGACAGCTTCAGTTGCTGGTGGGGATCAGATGGCAAGAGATAGCACAACTAGTTACTGAATTCTAGTCAGTAGTTAGGAAAGACTCGCACCTTACCGCTTAACCTCCTTTTCTGCTTTTTACAGGTGAGCTCAAAGGAAGTAAATAAATTCCAGATGGTAAGTTTTTGTAGGGGAATGGGGTCTTGTATTTTTATAGCAGTGTTTTGTTTTTTGTTTTGTTTTTTTTTGTCCCAGGACCCATCTGTAAACATCGGTGGCCAGTCTTGACCCAGTGCTCCCAGCATGTGGGGTGGATGTGTGTAAGTGTGTGGGGCATGGGGAGGCCCCAGGCAGCCCCTCACAGGCTGGAACTCTGCAAGCTTTCAAGGGAAAAGACATAGCTTTCCACTCTTCTGCTTTTTTAAAGAAGAATCTGTTTTTTAAAGTCTGTTCATTTTCATATGTTCTTGCGACCTACTGGTTGAAAAACGCTGTTCTATACCTTTGTTTTCCCTTTTGCTCTTTTGGGGGGGGGGGGGGGGGTGGGGGTGGGGGGGTGGGGGGGGGGTGTGTGTGTGTGTGTGTGTGTGTGTGTGTGTGTGTGTGTGTGTGTTAATTAACAATCCATGGATGTCTAATACAATTCTCTCTGATCCATCCTGGGAGAGTCTTAGACTTGTTTTGTTTTTTGTAGGCCTATTCCAATTTGCTAAGAGCCAACATGGATGGCTTGAAGAAGAAAGACAAGAAAAGCAAAAACAAGAAAAGTAAAGCAACGCAGTGAGGGAATGGAATGTCTCCCATCAATGCAATTCATCCAGATACTTGCCTTCAGTAAAGTCCATTTCTTAGATAGCTTTGGCTTTATATCCAGGAGAATACTGGGATGTGACCAATAGTCTTTTAAACTGGAGGCAAAGAGTACTTTCTGTGGATTCCTGTATGGTGGGAGTATTTACTGGGTTATGCTGAAATAGTTTCACTCAGCTGCCAACTAGTCTTGTACTTGTATTGCTGTTCTATTTTGTATTTTTACTTGAGATAGCCAGTGTAAACTTGGGAGGGAGGCAGCAGGGAAGGAGAGAGGCCTGGTCACAAGGAAATGCCAGGACAGGATCTTGAGTCTCTGTGACTGAAAGCCTAGTATGAACTACTGGGAAAGTGGACACTAAGTAATCTTAGGAACACTGACATTTTATTTTTCACCTCCTTCATGGTTTCTAGGAGTGAGCATAGGTCAATAGCGGTAAAAAGCATCATCCTTAAGATGTATACAAAGATTTGATTCTTAGATAAATGGTTAACCTGTAACTACTGTGGTAGCTCCTTGCTAGGAGTAGATACGAAATGGTTACGCTTAATTGTTTCAGTTAAACAAAATAAATCAATTTGAATAAAATAACTCTTAATAACATTCCCCAGTAAACAACTAGGAATTAACCTGTTTATGTGTACTTGGGATTCAAACAGTTCTGACACCATTTGCAGGCCCTAGGGGTAAGAACCAAGCCCACCTCCTGCAGTTTTTGCTTTGAAATGCCCTGAACTTCTGATTAGGTCTCTCTTCCTTCGTAAAGAGGTAAGCGATTCCTCCCCACTGTTTGTTCAGGATTATGCTATAAGAAATGGGGTATCTACATTTTATTGTAAAGGAAAACTGCAGTACTGAAAAGTTTGGTTACTAGAAGCATCTATTTATTTAACTAAATAAAAGGTAATATACTTAAAAACAAAACCAAAAACCCCTACTAATTCAGTACATGGAAGAACTTTTATAGATAGGTAATTGATCTAGGTTAGTTTATTAAGTCAGAAGTAAACTATGTGGAAGTAGAAGAACTAGTTATACTCCTGAGTCTCAAGGATCTTAAGGCAGTTGTGTAAGTATGATATAAATATCTAGGATTAAGGCTACTTAACACCTAAAGCCATTGAGTTTGGTGTCAACTTCAGTCTTCTTGGTATAGTTGTATGGGACAGTATGGGTTGTTCCTGGTGCTTGGTATGTCTACCCTGAGCACTGGGAAGAATCAGCCAGCCTGGTGCTGCTGCTGGCTCCAGCCTGCAGTAGGAGCCTGCTGTCATCCCCTGTGCAAATCCTGGGGCACACACCCCCTCAGGAACATACAGCCCACAGCCCTCTCAGGGGTTGGGTGCAGAGCAGCAAGGGATGTGCCCTTCCCCCCACATCCACTGACAGTTCCTGTTGCAGCTGGTGCCAGTTGCTCCTAGGGCCACTGCAGCAGAGGCTAGGGTGAGTGGACAGGCTGCGCTGGGTCCTGTGCCTGCTTGCTGCCACTCCCCCCAGCCTCTGCTGCAGTGGCCTTGGAAGCAACCAACACCAGCTGCCTGTACCACAGCATGGGGTGAGTGGGGGCAGGCAGAGCCCAGGTGGGTGGTGGTGGGGGACACGCATGCAGAGCACAGTGCAGCCCCAGAAATGCCCCCCCTCCCCAATTCCCTAGTCCCAGCCCCCCTCACCACCTTGGGAACCTATACCTATTTGTTCCATTATAAAGTGGGTTCACTTTATGCGAGGGAAACCTGTATAGCCTACAGCCAAATTAGCCCTGAATCTCTCCAAATCGATTCAGAGGTTTCTGATTCTATTCAGACCTCTTAATAAGTCTCCCAGTTTTGATTTGGAGATTCAGCTGCCAAATTTCCACCAAATCAAATTAGCTACTGAAGCTTTACAGTCCTAATTGTTATGACAAGGGTTTTTTTCTTCCATGTTAAATTGCAGGGTGGGATGGGACACCTTATTAGAATTGAGTAAATATGGTACAAATACAAAAAAAATTGATAAAGTGCATTGTCTTCTCACTATTCTAGAACTAGAACAAAAAGTAAGTGAAATTCAGTAAGAGCTTTTGAACTGAAAGACTGTTTCAGCTTGCCAATCACAGTCCTGTCTGTAGGTTACAATGTTCAGTTTTAGAGGATCACAAGAATTGCCTCACAACTTGCTTCTGAAGTATAAGTATAGTCATATTCTTTCAAGAGGCTTCAGTACTTATTTAAATTTCAAGTAATGTGCAGTAAGAATTCTGCTTAGAGTCTTCACCTGGGGAAAATTCCTTTCCCAGAATCAGTCTTCAGGCTCAAAGTGCATCACACATTTCCACTGGGGAGCAGTGTATGTGCTGCCTCCTACAGGCTGCTTCTTGGATCAGAAGTAATTAGGGTCACATGTGCCAGGCACTAATTGCTATTGCTGAGTGGCACTGCCTTATTAATTAATCCTCCCAGACCAGAATATAAGTGGGACTTGCATTGCTCTCCCTTTCCAGAGGCACATGGCATTTGAGGGTACTTTTGTCTGGCACAGTACACTTGCCATGTCAACGTGGCTGCTACTGAGCAAACAAATACTATCATTATGGAGTCCAGTTAAAATACAATGCATGGCTAGTGCGTGATTATAAAACATTTATTTTGAATTTGTTTAGACAATGTATGTTACAGTTATTGCATACAAAACCTTAAACACTTTACACTAAAAAAAATAAACAGTATTTGCCCTGCCTTGCTTTTATCACAGCTTCTTGAAATATGTGCAGAACAGTGGCAGAGTTGATAGAATGTTTTTTGTTTAGGGCATGGAGCTTTTTCTAAAGTCAAGTGCTGCTACTGAAACACCCCAGTAACAGGGTTTTTTTAAGAACTAAAATAGAACTTTGTAGTGATCATCTCGATAACTGTACAGGATAAGCACAGGAACTCTGCAGAGGAAAAGAAAGAATGTTAGACTTCAAAACAGCGGATAATATAGCAGTCATGCCAAAGCTTCTAAACAAGCTGTCTTTGGAAACAGGAGAAAGGCGAGTCTACAACATGCTTGGTATGTGTGGACTGACTTCTAGTGGCCCAAGGCTTTATTGTCTACCTCATAGCAGGTATGCAGTGTTAACCCAGTGAGCCTTCTGTAAGGCAGAGGGAACTAGATAGTTGGAATAGGGGAGATGTGACAGCAATTTAAGTCTTATTCCAGTCCCAGATTCTGTAATAATGTACCCCCAGCTGACCCATTCTACATGGCTATCTGGTTATCTGGGGTGGGAAGAGTCAAAAGGTGGCTGGCTGAAGTGTTAGCAACATCATTTCCGTGTGTGACAATGGCTGCAGAAACTGGCTTGCTTTAACTGGGCTGGCCTAATGGGTACCTATAGGCCAAGACTAATGCAAAGAATAAGAGATTTTTCAACAGGGTTTATTTTCTTCTGGAGAAAGAAGAGCGAACTCTGTTCACTAAAATTCAGATGTATTAAGCAGCTCAACTTCTTAAAGCACCAACAGTAAAACAACAATTTACCTCTTCTCTACTTTGATATTATAAATTTCATCACAAACTGCTTGTAGGTATTTCTGCTTTGGTAATCGTGACATCAGTTGTTTCACAGTTGCATAAAATGACTGTTCGTCTCCATCATACTATGATACAGGAGGCAGAAGTAACAAGAGGCATTTTCATACAGTATTATACTTTACTGCAAAAAATATTGCATCTAGGACAGTTCATGCTTCTGATATGAATGGAATATCAATACCCTCCTACTTGACCTACCACAAATCCAGCTTCTTGTAAAAAAATGGATAGAACAGCATTTGTGGTTTGGATCTGTTTATAGCAGCAGTGTTTGGACAGAGGGTCCTGGTGAGCAGTTCTCTCCTTCAGTCTGAACAGCATCATGTTGGGAAGGCTCAAGTGTTCTGTTTCTCCTCTTTGGAGAGGGCCACTTATGTAATCCTGTACACACTTAGATTGCTTTTAGGTACTATCTGCTACATGAGCCTTAGTTTTCTTTGGCTCCTCCCATTTTCAATTTCCAATATTTAGGTCCCATATAATATCAGTGGGAGCCAACTTTTCAGGTGTGCCACAAGTTAGCCCTGTATGTTCCCTGAAGTGCCACTCAAATCCCCTTCTGCTGCCTGCCACCTCCCCAACCTCCTACAGGTTGGCCACTTGTATTAAACAATTTTATGCGGCTGATTTACTGTTCATGAATATCATTAACAACACTTTATATTGTGCACCATACACTCTGTGATTTTTCCATTCAATTTTTTGTGTGTCCTACAATATGCAAATTACAAAAGTAATTTGCAGTTCTCTAGTCCAGTGGTTTTCAAACTTGCTAAAGGCATAGAACCCCTTCATTAAACAAATTGTCTGCCATTCATACATCTTTGGAAGCCCAAGTTTGACAAGTGTACCCAGTATTTCATTGTCACAGGACTAACCTCCCTATTGAGAGTTATGAAAAATTAAAGGGATGCTAGACTACATTAGGTTTACCTTTCAAATTAACCTCTGTATGGTAGGCACCTGCTGCATTTGAAGCTACCCTCAACTGAAGGGAGAAGAAACTTTTTTCTGCATCCTATACTCCAGAGATTGTGTTGGAGGTGGCGCACAGTGACATAATCTATCCTCAGCGTCAGTCTTTTAGGTCCATCTCCCTCTAACTCAAGCATGTGCCTTTATTGAACTGCATTCCCTTCTGTAGTAGAGTGAAAAGCATTCTATACCACTGGGGGGCACTGACAGCAACTGGGAAACTGACTGGAACCGTGGTTAATTTTAATTGGCCACTGTTTGGGACAGTCATAAGCAGCCAGAGATGTTTTTAATGCCTACCTCAAACTTTAAAAGGAAAATTCTGATTAATTTTAAAATTAACTTCAATTTGGACCCCATTAACTTTTAAAAATCTAGCACGTTATACAGTTACTTTGGACTTACTTCTAGTGAGAAGAAGTGCATTATAGTTTCTTTTGGTAGATCAACCTGCAAAAATAGGGCAAAAGAAGTCAATATCAAAGAATCACACTACATAGTTTAATAAGTAACAACTGTATTCCTGTCACTAGTTTGGTCATGTGAATCAGAACGTATGGCTGGAAGGAAATCTCTGGAGTCATCTAGTCCGACCCAGTGTCGGAGGCAGTATCATCCCTATCCAAACCATCCCATAAAAGTCCTTATCTAATCTATTACTAAATCTACAGTCAACCCTGTCGCATAATAATGTGCATAATGCCCTAATTTGCCATGGATAAAACAGGAGGGACAACTGCAGCCAGTGTCCTGCAAGGGTTGTTAAAATGTACTTGAGAGATCCAAGGAAGAGGGCCATGCTTCCTGTTACAAAGGAAGGCATAAACCACCATAGTCCATAACAATCTGATCATGGGGTAACATTCCTAACCCTGAAAGCTTGCTAAAAAATTTTTTCCCAACTATTTAAGTTGGTCTAGTAAAGGATATCATATTCACCCAAACAACCTTGTCTGCCTAGGAGAAACAGTGCCCTCTAGGTGATAAGGTAACAGTAACCTGTGGCAGCAACAAATTACATAAAATCCACTGGCACTGGGGTGCTGGGTGGAACAGTGCAACTCTACATCATACAGTTAGCAGCAATTAAATAGTTAAAATGTAGACATTTTGCTGTATGCAGGAGACCCAATTACCCATTGGAAAAACACTTCTCAGAGAGTTAACTAAATATTACACAGACTTCATTTTACCACGAGAAGCCTTTCATCACAATAGCATAAGAGTGTTAAAAAAACTTCAAGCATAAGATTCCTGCTAGCTGGGCAGCTGTCACCAGCAACTAACAATGCTGATCCAAGTATCAAACCTGCCACAAAACTAGTGATGTACTGTTTTTATTTTTAGGCCTTAGCAAAATGACTTACTGCCAGAATTTCAATCTCGCTTATTTTCTGTTGCAAGTTAGTGATGAACGTCTGCAGTCTTGTTTGCACCTGCAAGTTAAGTTTAATATTTTAGTGGTAAAAGTAGTAGACAAAGGTCTCCTGTTAAACACTGATGTTGAGGAACTCTGTTTTCTATATGACTGATTCACAGATTATAAGGCCATTGCAATAATGTCCTCTAACCTGTTACAGGTTACGGACCTAAGGACTTCCCTGGATTAATTCTTGCTTGAACTAGAGCAGATGTTTTGGAAATACAATCCAGTCCTAACATGTACGCTCACAGTGAGCTGGTCGAAAAGTTAATTACTTTCACTAGTAACAATCTGCACAGTATATGAACTTGGGAAGCCTTAACTACCAGCCACTGGATTTGTTAGACCACTGTCTTACAGACTAAAGAAAACAAAGTATAATTTTTTATTAGAAGTTTGATATGACCCAGCTTATAGGTCCAAAGCAGAGTGGCAGTAAGACCCATGGGCTGCTGTTTCTCTCTGCCACCTGGCCATGATGCAGCATGCAGCATGGAGCAGACAAAGCACTGTGCTGCTGAAGCCCCCACACTACAGGTTGGATCCAGTGGCTCCAATGGGTCATAGGTTGCCAATCCTTGTGCTAGGTGGTAAGTGTGAGACTGAAATATTTTATGGCTCTCAGGAATGCAAGTGTAGGTCTCATGCTCATTCACAGAATATGTGCGCCATCCAAATACAAGTGTGTGTTAGGAGAGGACTAGATGACACTAACAAGACTTGGCATACAAGGTTGTGAATTTCCCTGGATAGTCTATCTTTTTGTTTATGTGGTTAAGTAGATACCGTCTTTTACAAGGTTATGAGATGCTCTTGCAGTTGCGATGGCACAGAAAACAGTCCCAGAATGCACTATGGTCCATATACTACTGCAAGAAGTTAGTCTATGTGGGAGCACAGGAAACTTGGCCACTTTGTGCATGTGGCCCCATAGCACTCCTGTCTCCTGAGGCAAACTGCAAGGTGGCATGAAATGCACATGAAATGCCACAGCACCCTGGGTGACAATTGCTGTTCTATCATTACAACACTACACATTTTATTTTAATAAAAAAAAGTAACTGCTTATATACAGTGTGCGGGAAATTTTTTTCTTATGCCTGGTAGTTTAAGAGAGTGAATGAAATACTAAACTACAGGGACACACGTTTGAGTGCCCTGGATATACATTTTGTATAAAATGTATGTTGAACTTGTAATTTAAATTATTTTGGACGCTCAAAAAAGTTAGAAAATGCTAAGATTAAGGTTCTGCAATCTTAACTGAGCTTCCTTGGGCACATGCGTTATGACAACCCAGCTCCACATTACAAAGAGACTGAGACAACTGGGAACCTATTTGTTTGGTCCTTCTCCAATGCAGACACATCCATTTTCTCCTTGTAACCCTCTGCCTTATGCACTATTCATCCTGAGTGAGGCATGGATCCCACAAAAGAAACTGTTTGTGATCATTTAATTAAGGCTACAGGGGGAAATGTAATGTCAAGCATTTCCTAACTTCGGAGTGCTTGATTTGAAAACTTAATGTCCATTTGGCAGAAGTTTTCATAAGCAGTCATCCAAGTGGGTTTTTAAAACAAATTTCAAGCCAGAAATGAAAGGGGAAAAAGAAAGCACCTGCATTTACCTGAATTTCTTGACGTCGTCTGGCACTGGCAGACAATTTCTCAGGTGCTATAATGCTCACAGTTGGAACTATAGAAGTTCCATGCATTTCAAATAAACCTACAATGCAAATGTTTCAAAACGTAATTTTTTTTTTTTTTTTAAACACATGAACGTTATACACCACCCTGAGAAGTGCCTTTAGCCATGTAACAATTGGTAAAAAAAGACATTTTTATTTTATTATGTTTCTCATAGTGTATATTAAAAATATATAATACCAAATTCTTTAAATGTAAAGAGTATTAGAAATGAACACAGTTGATGTTTCTAAATAATCAATAACTGTATACCTGAAGTGTTAGAAAATGATCCCTTTAAATTTTGTATTGAGAGATTATCTGAAGTTTCCCTAAAAGCAAGCAAATAAAAAATGAATTAAAAAAGCAGATGCAATCTAAAAGCAGTACAGTGGAATAAACATGAACAAACTTAAAATACAAAGGAGCTTTTAGGCACATATTTGCAAACTAAATTCTGCATTTTTTATTAGTTAACAAGCCCTATAACACCTGCATTTGTTCCTAAAAACTTGTGTACACTAAGTGCTATGAGCTAGCAGACAAGAGAATAAACAACAATCCTTACATTTCCTCTGTACTACAAAGAAATTCCTGCATCCTATCTATTTAGACAACAGCCCATATTCTCATACCTGGAATGTTAATGTCAAGAATTTCTAACTACACTTTTCCTTTCATATAAAGGACTTTCCTAGAATTATAGCATAAACTAGGACAGCACCTGTCCAGGCAGGTGTTTTAACATGCAACATTAGAACAATTTACCTCAGATAAAAAAATTGGCCTTAACTCTTTAAAGCATATGAATTTTGCTTCAAAATGTCTCAGTTGCTAGTGAAAATAAATATCCTTCTGGAGAGTCTTATGACACAGGAATAATACAAATCCCACTACCCACCCATAGAAGAAATTAGGCAGTGCTTTCTCAAAGGTAATTTTTATTGAAAATAATCTCATGGAGAGCTCCTTTAAAATGCCATATTGAAAACTTAATTCAGTTTATGAAAACATTTCTAATTTTAACTGGTTGCATTCACTTTTTATGCTCCTACCTGTTATTTCTTTCATCAGAGACTTTGGTCTTCAGTTTCTGGGCCAGGTGTTCTACTAAATCAGATTCTAAAATCCTTTTCTCTGTCTGCCTTTCCTTTTCAAACGATTTCACCTACAAAAGATTAATTTAAATGTTTCAAGGATTCACAGATTGATATTACTTATCTTTTAAGTAAATATACTTTGGAAAAATGGAGAGAAAGAAAAAAAAAAGTCTTACTAGATCCATCACCTACTAAGGATGAAATAATCAGGTGGACAGAGACTCACTTTCTATGATCACTGGTTAATTAAATCCTCTGGTTTGCTTGATTAGATTTTTGCAACCCAACTAGTAATAATTTCCGTTGCGTTTCCACTGCTTAAGCTTGGCCATTTGCCTTTGTTAATATGCAATAATCAGTTTAGGATTGATTGGTACACAGCATTCACAGTATACTGCATTCATTAAATTATTTCATTAAAATAATTAAATTTGGAATGTAGCTGCCTTTCACTAATTTGCAGAGGTGACTTCCAAATTTCAAAATTTACACGCATTTTCCCAGTTTTTATTTACTTGGAGATGAACAATTAAACCAGAGAGCAAGGATGCCATTTAACATACAATACAATAGTATCTTTATTTTTTCTCTGATAGAGCACTCATTTTTTTTAAAAAAGCATGCATGCATCTTTCTATCACTTTTTGATCAAATAATTATCAAGATCAACCTGTTCATAAAGATATTTTGCTAGAAGTAACAAATAAGTGAAACACATTTTAATACTGCATATCAGCTATATCACACAATAATGCCATACACTGTCAAATGACTTTAATAAGTTAAGAGTTTTTCATTAAGACAAAGACAGTAACAATGGCAATGACTCAGAAACAGTGATATTTTATCATCATTTCAATATTTTATTTTTTTTAAATACTGTAAATTTTTAGGGCTTATGAAAAGTACCAGCTTTGTTGAGAACTTTGGGCACCAATGACTAACAGATACAGTACAGACAGTGACAATTAAAGCTTTCCCAACACCAGACCTCTGCAAATCAACCCTGACCTGAAGACATAACATGGTTTGGTATCCATGTCTATTGAAGCCTTATCAGCTGTCAATTTTGGTGATATTTATGTTGGGATGTGGACATCTGTCATCTTAAAAACAGACAGACCACCAATTCATTTAATAATGTCATGAAGCAGCCATTAGGTGGTGGCAGAATGTAGTTACTACCTCCACTTCCATTTAAACATATGCCCCCACACACTTTAAATGAAACTCAACTGCCATAATTTTTCAATTGTAACTAAAAGTTATGTGATTTGTGATTAAAAGTTATGAAATTGTTTTTCCTGGAAGATATAGACAGTTGGACAAAAGCTAAAAAGACGGGTCTGCCGTGTATCTACTATTCATTTTTCAGAGTAATGGTATGCTTGTTAGTTACTCAGAAACTCACACTTATCAGTAATCTGTTATTCAACTGTTAAGAGTTCAATTTCCAGAAAATATGGTACCAGTATTAGCTTTAAGAGAAAGATTCAGAAGAGCAGATTATTCATGTGAAACATTTACAAAAAAATCTCCCTTGCCCCAACTTTTACCTTTACATGATTTCCTTCTTTATCAGAGACAAGAGCTACATATGTAATTCCAGAATATCTGCAATACTCCTGCAATTCCTCTTGCGACTAAAAGAAAGAAAGAAAACTGGTAAATTAGGAGGACAGAATTATTAAATGAATATATAGAAAACCAGAATATTTTCCTTTCAATTAAACTGAAAGGAAGTGGCTATAATTAGTGGATCTATTCTTTTCTGTGCAGGAGAAAACTTTATCTATCAGTCCAGGAAGAACACTTTTCCGCTGCTCACTCTTACAGGGCATCTATAGGATCACCCTGATTTGACCCACAAGGATAGGATTCAGCAAGATTAAGAAGCAAAAGCTTAATGTTTGCATCTGTAAGCAATGATGTATTTTTGATGATCTGTCATTGTGATGTAGCTTTCTCTGTGAGAGAGCCCCACATCCTGCCTGCAAACTACATGGGTAGGGTAGAGCACTGCCCACTGCTCCACTGATTACAGTCAGGCTTTATGCAGTCTTGGGGTTTTCCTGCGAGAATTTTGGAGCAGAATCAGGGCCAATTCTTGCTATACCAAAATAAAAGTACAGCCATTCTCCAGTTATATGATATAGCTAAGCTATGCAGTTCTAGCTACATTCTATAGCCAGATTAAAAACAAAAGAAAAACAGGCCAACACTCTGTGAACAGCTTCACAAAGAGGAAAGCAACCTGGACAGAAAAACAAAATCAAACAAACAAAAAAACCCACATGACTAAAAGGGCATTAGCCCCAAATTGCACTCGCATTTTTCCAGCATATGGCCAAATGCGAGGAAAACTAGAAAAAAAATGAAGATAACGCTAAGATAATACGGTCACCTCAAGGCAATTAAGTGCCTCAAAAACCCTGTTGTGAGCTGGTGAAGGAATAAGTCAAACATGATGGTTAAGGGCTTGCAGACCAAGCCCTACAAGGAGAGACTAGAGAACCTGGACCTTTTCAGCCTCCGCAAGAGAAGGTTGAGAGGCAACCTTGTGGCTGCCTATAAGTTCATCATGGGGGCACAGAAGGGTATTGGTGAGGTTTTATTCACCAAGGCGCCCCTGGGGGTTACAAGAAATAATGGCCACAAGCTAGCAGGGAGCAGATTTAGACTGGACATTAGGAAGAACTTCTTCACAGTTCGAGTGGCCAAGGTCTGGAACGGGCTCCCAAGGGAGGTGGTGCTCTCCCCTACCCTGGGGTCTTCAAGAGGAGGTTGGATATGCATCTAGCTGGGGTCATCTAGACCCAGCCCTCTTTCCTGCCTATGCAGGGGGTCGGACTCGATGATCTATTGAGGTCCTTTCCGACCCTAATATCTATGAATGATAGAAAAGGAGATGCCATGATATTTCCTGTGTCATTTACCAATTACCCAACTGAGCAATGGTTGCAAAAATCTAAAATTTGCCTGAGAAGTGCAAGGTGTTCAAGTACTTCGTTGTCCCACAATCCAATTATCTAGGCTAGACATTTATCTGCTGGATTTCAGTGGGACTCAAGCCTTTAAATACCTGGATATGCTTAAAGGTTAATGTAGCTGCAACAATTCTAGCAATATTGTTTATCAGAGCAGTAATTCAATTACACTGCTCAGTAGTTCCAGGTACAGTATAACCTCATAAATTCAGATATCAAATATCCGTAATTCTCAAAAATATGGCACTTTTTAAAACTACACTAGATCGGGAAGTAGCTGCAGCTGGTCCCAGAGCAGAGGGGGAAGCTTGCACATGGTGGCTGTTGCCAGCATCCACCACCCTGCACCGCCTCTCTGCGTGCAGTCACTGCTACTCCTATCCTCCCCGCCAGTCCCCGCTCTGGGACTGGTTGCTGCTCCAGTTTAAAAAAATCCGGAGTCTTCAAATTTCTGGCAGGTCCCGAGCATGCCAGATTCATGAGGGTATACTGTATAATAAAGCTATAGTGGGCCTTGGGATATGGAACATATCCTTAACTCTGATCCCTTTCCACTCAAACACCGTACTGTTTATGATCTTTGGTAAAGCATTTATCTAAAGTTTACAGCATCTCAAGAACCTTGGGCTCTTCATAAATACAAGTATTAGCATTACCCGTCTCATTCCAAGAAGGCAACGCAATTTAGTGGATAAAGCACTGGACTTGGAACAGAAGGCACTTTTACACATGCTCCAGGCCGGGTGGAGGGAGCAGTGCTTTAATTAGAGCGGCTCCAAGAGTGGCTCCAATTCATTTAATAATGTCATTAAACAGCAGAATGTAGTTATTACCTTCATTTCCATTTAAACATATGACCCCACACACTTTAAATGAAAGAGCGGCTCTAGGCTCGAATTAAAGTGCCATCGTGTCTCCTGCACCAGTGTCCCTGCACTTAAAAATGGTGGCGGGGCACTTGAACTAAAGCTCCCTCAACAGGCTTTAGTTCAAGTGTCCCCACTGCCATTTTTAAGTGTGGGACACTGATGCACAAGATACAGGAAGCTGGGGAAGTGTGGCAATTGCCACACTCCAATAGGCTGGATTAATCAAGCCTGCTCCGACACGCTGGAATTCCAGTGCGTCAAAGCAGCCTTGGCATTCATGTATAGGTGCCCAAAGAGATGTAGGTTTTCCTTCCACTGGGCCACAGATTCAAGGGATGGTTCAGAACTGAATTCAACAGGAATGTTTCCATTGATTTCAATGGACTTTTGATCATACCCTCAGTACTACAAGGGCAAGGAAAACATTCATTGATATTTGAATTGTAAGCTACACATGCTCAATATTAACATTTTATAATTACACAACCTCTAATGGGGAACCTCAGTAATACCAGCCCTAGTAAAAATGATATGCAGGTAACCAATAGGTAGACAGAAGCCTTACCTGGGACCAGTCGTACATGATTTCAGCTGAAATTCCTGCAGTCCAGAGTTTCTGAACAATGTTAATGGCTCTCCCCATTGACATCTGTCCAACACTTACAACCAACAAATCACAGGAGCTAACAGTAACCTGAGAATAAGGCACACATGAGCAAGTTGTTAGACGACTGCTGGAAAGCACATGGAAACTCCTTCCCCTGCCCGGGCAATCAGCAGTGCTGACTGACACTGCTGCATAACAAATTGATAAGTTTTCCATATATAAAATCTCATTATTAGGTGGCCATCTTATATTTGAGTAAATAAAGTTTATTAAAAGGAAGGACTGTAATTCTTCGGACTTGTGTGAAGCACGAATGAGTGAAAGGGATGTTGGTTGAAGTTAGGTTTTTTGGGTAAATCTGATATCTTTTATTAGACCAACTAAAACAGTTAGAAAAATTCTTTGCAATCTTTTGGGTGCAAACATTTTTCTTTTTGAGATCTGAATCATTAAATAGACATCAAAAGGTATTTTATGCCATTATGCTTCTGTATTTCAGTTTTCTGATGAATATTTCCAGTTCTCACTGGAATGTTAAAATATCTACATAAAAAGGAAGTAACAGGAAGTCTACTGCCTAAAGATTTCTGTTTGCTATTTTAATATGGAATTACTTTAGGACCTATCAGACTGTCAATATTTCTTGCCCGTCTTTGACTTCATATGGAATTACTGAAATCTCAGGAATAATAATAAAAAAAGTAAAGCAGGAGCTGAAACTTACAGGGTCTTCCATGCTGGAAACAGCAGTGGTAATTTTATCGATAGCTATGCTGACTCCAACAGCAGAAGGAACTGGTCCTACTGTTTGTGGCCCTCGAAACTGTGGAATCTGAGCAGACAAGAAATAGTTCTGTTAGAAAGATATCAAAAAATATATACATTTAAAGAAAACACAAAGTTAAGTATGTACCAGGTGATCATATCTGCCTCCAGCTGCAAGGATTTCAGGAACCGTTCTTTGTCTCCGTTTGATGTATGCTATAAACTGAAAGATAACTCCATTGTGCTGCTGTACTTTGTATACCAGTCCCAAATTTATAGAAACCTGGAAAACGGAAATAAACATTACAAGCTTGCTAAGTGCTACAACAGTTCTGTCTGTCCACTTCAGTATCTTAAATGGCATTGAACTGACACTTTTCAAAACTTAACATAGAACCTCCAATGTGAGAAGATTAAGACAGAAAAGAGGACTGCGATTAAAATAATGATCCCTGAAGAGTCAGGATGAAATCCAAAAATCAGAAAAAAAGAATCTGAAATATTACAGGGAACTTGAATTACAACACATCTAAACCCCAAATTGAAAACCTCTCAATACAAAGAGCCAGTTCCATTGTTTCTGTTTTGTACACTTCATTTTTTAAACGTAACAGCCCCTTTTCAGTAATATACAAAGAAAATGATTTTCAGTCAATAATTTAACTGAAATATAGTTTATTAAAAATGACTATAGTTATTTAGATCTAAATAATTTTAAGAAGAGCATCCTCTAATTGGTAATAAAAGTGAAAGTGCAGATTTAAAAATGGGGGTGTAGGTTGTAGCTGTGTTGGTCTAAGGACATAGGTAGATTAGGTTCTTTGGGGGAGTCTGATATCTTTTATTAGACCAACTTAAATAGTTGGAAAACAATTTTTAAGCAAGCTTTCAGGTTCAAAAACCCTTTGTCAGGCTGAGGAAGTTTTAGCAGTTGGTGTGCGCTCTTCGTGGATGGAATGAAAAGTAAAGAAGCCAGAGGCTGGGCTGGTATGCATACAAGACAGGCAGCAGTCAGTGAAGATGGCAGTCAGTGAATGTGGTCTGTATTTTATCATTCCGGATACTGATCATCATGTCTAAAAAGATGTTGGTGCTGGAGTATTCTAGATAAAGTCAGATGGAGGGATGGTGACTGCTGAATTTCTGACGGAACTCAGAGATTGCAGGTTTCAGTCCAAATGATGAAGATGTCATTGATATATCTTAATTATAGCAAGGATTTGATGGACTGAAAACCTGAAAAACTGAAAAGGGTTGGACTGAAAACCTGCAATCTCCGATTGAGTTCCATCAGAAATTCAACAATCACCATCCCTCAATCCAACTTTCTCTAGAATACTCCAGCACCAATATCTCCTTTTTAGGCATGATGATCAGTATCCAGAATGAAAAATACAGACCACATTATACAAGTAACCCACAGACCAACATACGTATTTGCACAGAACCAGCAATCACCCTAAACACACCAAAAAAGCTGTGATATACAGCCAAGCCCTCAGATACCACTAAATTTGCACTGAAGAGAACACCCGGGATTGCCACCTCACCAACCTTCAAAAGGCTTTCACCTAACAAGGACGGACACTCCTCCAAAGAGACAGATCGCATGTTTGAAAGCCACCCGGATACCACGTGAAGAACTGCTGCAATACAGAAGAAAACCCCCCACAAATAGCACACTGCTGGTTATGACATATCACCCCTCCCCGAACCCGTACAGAAAATCCTCTAACAATTGCAACCCATACTAGAAAGAGACCCTATTCTTAAAGAGATCTTCCCAGAGCCACCCATCCTAGCCTTCAAACAAGCACCGAACCTCACTAACCTCATCACCAGAAGCAAAACTTCCTCAGGCCCAGAACACACCAAGTGGATCCCGACCATGCTATGACAAGAAATGCAACACCTGCCAACACCTCTCCACCACCCCCACAATTACTACACCCCACAACAGAGCCATCAGCTGCACCTCCGGAAATGTAATATATCTCATCCAATGCACCAAATGCCTTGATGGAAAATACGTAGGAGAGACCAAGCAACAACTGTGCACCAGAATGAATGCACACCGGAAATCTATCAAAGACAGGAATACCCAGTTACCTGTGGGGGCACATTTCTCACAAGAAAGCCACTCTCTCTCCAATCTCTCAGTCCTGATCCTCAAAGGATACTTACAAAACACTTCCCAGAGATGAGCCTATGAACTCCACTTCACCAACCTCCTGGATACTAAAAATCATGGACTAAATATAGACATTGGATTTATGACACATTATAACCTGCCTGACATCTGACTCCCCAGGTACTTCTCCACTATTCATCCCTTTTTTCTTCCCCCATACCCAGCCTGTCTCTCACCCATTGACTCAATCTACATCTTCACTGACTGCCTATCTTGCATGCATACTAGCTCAGCCTCTGGCTTCTTTACTTCTCATTCCATCCACGAAGAGCACATGCCAACTGCTGAAACTTCCTCAGCCTGACGAAGGGTTTTTGAACCCAAAGCTTGCTTAAAAATTGTTTTCCAACTATTTAAGTTGGTCTAATAAAAGATATCAGATTCACCCTAAGAACCTTGGCAATCTAAAAATGGGTCATTTTTAACAGTCATTTTATGCAGTCCTACAAGTTGATGGCACCTGCTCTGTGCTCAAGGTTATGAGTGGTTTGGTTCCCAGGGAAATGTTTAGGAAGAGCAATTCTGTCTCCAAATTTATAAATCAATCAATTTAACTAGAATTCTTTAAAAACAAACAAACAAACCAACCTGAAGTTTTATGCCAAGCTGCTTTAAGAGACTTATGACTTCCTCTAAATCTTTCATGCCATGCTTCACCAGCTGCGTGACACCTGTTTTTTGTTTTATCATTGTGTTTAGAATTGGGAATATGCTGCTTAACTCTCCCTTCTGCTCAATGAACCTGTAGAGTCGACAAAGCTGAAAATTGAAAAAGATAATGCTATACACAAGCTTGAACAAGAGGAACCCCACCACAGCACGTAACTTGGAATGGGACAGAGAGAAACGTATTATTTTCCCTTGTTTTGCACATGGGTCTACTACTTTATTAGTAAACTCGAGTGCATACAGAATGTCTGAAAGTTGGAAGGTGAAGGTCTATCTCCACCCAGGCTTTACAGCTATGCATCTAATTTTGCAGAATCTGATTTTAGAACACCACACACCATTTTTCTTCCGGAAATTTTAATTCACAATGTTGTATTTAATTCCAAACATTTGCATACTTTGAAACACTAATATTCAAAACATGGGAGAAACCTGGAAAACAGAAATGCTGATACAGGGTGATAATGGCCCCTTCCCACAGTGATAAAACAGCAAAGAGACTAATATAATTCTAGCTGCAAAAGAGAGAGGCATCTCTCTCTTCATGGATTGCACTGTCTTAGTAGAGTTTTTATGAAAATTAAGGTGCCACAGATTTATAGCAAGTTGCCAGGAAATATAAAGCTTAACTGAAATACTTACACTATTTGGTGACAAAGAAAGATTGCAAAATTTGGCTTCCACTTCTCTTTTAGTTAGCTTTTCAGTCTAAAGCAAAACAAATCATCATGCATCAGCAGCTTTTAAAAAATTCAATTTTGATAAAAAAAACTATTTATCAAATTGTTGGAGACAAGGATTAAGACATAACTAAGTGGTTTTTTTCCTCCTTTTAAGAATTCTACTTCAAAAGTGCAATTACCCTCTGAAACCTCCCTGTAAGAATGGCAAAACTGAAGTCCCATATTAGTCTCTGAATGCCACCACTTTCACTTCGGTCACTTTACAAGAAAAACGTTCATCCAAAAAAAAAATCAGCTTTTGCTAAAAGTTTTAAAAGAAATTAATGCTAAACAAATATTTATGTGAGCATGTAAAAGCCAATATGGAAAGCTCTTGTAGGTATTTAAACATCCCTCTAGCATTTATAATATGAAGTTCAGTCCATTTTTTCTGATCTGACTGAGCAATGTGAATAGCAAAAACTATGAAAAATATGAAACTGTTTAAATAACAGGAACACGTTCTTCAACTCTCCCTTCTGCTCAGTATATCTGTAGAGTCAGAGCTAAATTAAAATCAGATATGTTATATGTATGCTAGAACAGAGGGCACCTAACTCTCAGTATAGCACTTGATGTTGGACAGTGAGGCCCCCTCTACATGTTACAGTTATTGTGCAATTAACTAGTTAATTGCATAGTTAACTGAGATCAGCTACATGCGAAAAGCACCCATCACGCTATTAAAAGCTTCAGAAAGCTATAAAGTTAGACCTCGAAAATATGTAGTAACTTTGTAGCATGAACTGAACTAATGTCATTAAAAAACTAGGTGACTGTGGCATTGATGCCTACACAGTCAGATGGATTGCAAATTGGCTGAAGGGTCGTACTCAGAGGGTGATGGTGGACGGGTCATATTCGACCTGGGGGGAAGTGGGCAGCGGAGTCCCCCAGGGCTTGGTCCTCAGGCCCGCACTGTTCAATTTCTTTATCAGCGATTTGGACGATGGGTTGAAAAGCAACCTGTTCAAATTTGCTGACGATACCAAAATGTGGGGTGAGGTGGGCATGCTAGTAGGGAGGGAAAGACTGCAGCAAGACCTGGATAGGTTGCAGGGGTGGGCTAACAAAAACAGGATGCGTTTCAATACTGACAAGTGCAGGGTGCTACACTTGGGCAGTAGTAACCAACAGCACACTTATAAGATGGGAAACTCCCTTCTTGAGAGCACAGAGGCAGAAAGGGATCTTGGAGTCATTACTGACTCCAAGATGAACATGGGCTGACAATGCAAGGTCCCGGCTGGCAGGGCTAACCAGACCTTACCGTGCATCCACAGGTGCATCTCAAGTAGGACCAAGGAGGTGATCCTCCCCCTCTACGCAACACTGGTCAGCCCACAGCTGGAGTACTGTGTCCAGTTCTGGGCACCCCACTTCAAGAGGGATGTGGACAACATTGAGAGGGTACAGAGGAGGGCCACCCACATGATCCGGGGCAGCAGGGCAGACCCTACAAGGGACCTGAACCTGTTCAGCCTCCACAAGAGAAGGCTGACGGGGGACCTGGTGACCGTCTATAAACTCACTAGGGGGGACCAGAAGGGGTTGGGGGAGACCTTGTTTCCCCTAGCGCCCCCCGGGATAACAAGGAATAACGGCCACAAGTTGTTGGAGAGTAGGTTTAGATCAGACATCCATAAGAACTACTTTACAGTTAGGGCGGCTAGGATCTGGAATCAACTTCCAAGGGAGTGGTGCTGGCTCCTATGCTGGGGGTCTTTAAGAAGAGGCTTGATGCCTACCTGGCTGGGGTCATTTGAGCGGTTTTCCTCCTGCCCAGGCAGGGGGTCGGACTTGAAGATCTACAAGGTCCCTTCCGACCCTACTTCTATGATTCTATGAATGTAGCTGAGGTTAACATAGAGTGTAATAATAGTAAAATATAACCATGTTAGTCTTGTCCTGTAAGCAACTTGAAAACTCCATTTTGTATCCTTCTGCTTGACACAAGTGAATGAACTCTGCATTTATGTATGAGTGTGTGTAAAAGGGTGAATGGTGAAAGAATGGCATAGAGATGGGAGAAGAAGATTTAACTTTTTATGTAAGCAACAGGCACCAAGTGTAAGTTAACAGCCAGTAACTAACTAACAAACGGCTGAAGAATCCCTTTGAAGCTCGAAGGCACAAAGGAAATAACAGAAGAAAAAATTCTGCAAGATGGGCAACAAGAACACTCCAATGCTAAAATAAGCTGAAGACAAAAAAAGAACCACCACAAAAAACAAAAGCTGGGTATAGAAAAACTCCAAAGCACTCAAACAAAGGATGCCAATCCCTATATAAGAACACTTTGAAAATGCCAAGTTGGGCGAGTCTCTTTCTCTACTGCTGTTTCATCGGAGCACAGATGCATCTATTCACCCCGCTCCAGCTGTTATCTTTAAATCTGCTATCTTCAAATCATCATCATCTACTCAATAAGCCTGGGTTGGCCACCCTGGGCTGATATTGAGCAACTATTGCTGACAACTATATCTGGTGTATGTGTAGATGAAATAGTTGTCTCATGTATGTGTATGCCTGTGTATAATGATGTGTATGATGATCTGTGTGTGTTTGTATGAATAGCGTGCCCGAACCTCTATGTCTAACTCATGTAATCAATAAACGCAGTACCTTGCCTTATACCCTTTTATAAAGTCTCGCTCGGGATTTGAGCAATTGGCAATTTGTGTAACAACTTTATAGCTGGTTGCTATTCAGCTTTAATTTGCACATGTAGCAAGGAATACATTGCTGTTACACAATCTGCTGGTCCTCCAGCATCCCTGGGTACATTACCCCCTCTCCAGTATAAACTTCTCTGAAAAAGAACGTGGAGGAAACCCCTGCTCCAGCATAGTTCTAAGCCCTACGTTCATTCCTCCTACTCAGCAGCACCCAGCAGAAACACCATGCCCTGCCTGTAGCAGGCAAACTGAGTTATGCTCAGGCTCTTAGCATAACTTTAGGCCTTTCCGGATCTAAGCAATTAAATTGTACAAAGCGCCTTATAAGGCACTGGGAAAAATGAGTACTGTGATTGGTACGGTGGGCTAACTAGGTACAGTAGTTTCCCTAAAAGGAAAGAAGATAAAAAATGGAATAGGATTGGAGTATCTTATCTAAAAAGATGAGGTAAGACACTCGAGGATTGGACAGTTTGAGATGAGAAAGTTACAAAAGTAGTGGACAAACAAAGAGACAGTGTGTGTTTATGTTGCTACCCTGGGAAGACAGAAGCAGAATTGGAATTCTTGCTTTGAGTAACAAGGAATCCAGAAACTAACATCCCACACACCCAGCAGAGGATGAGGCTGGTACCACTGAAGCTTGCTGCTTTAATGTCTAAGGAACTGCTTGCCAGGTCCTATTACAAGGAAGAATACTTGTAATAAGCCTAGGGGTTAGTAAATAAAAGTTCACTTGATACCAAATTGGACAAGGGGCTGTGTCAATCCTTAGGGGTCTCTGGTAAAAGGAATCCTGGGGCAACACTGCCCCCCTTCCCCATGCAAACACAGAGCAGATGAGGAGGGACACCCCTGCCACAGTGAACCATAGCATCTGGGCAGCAGCAGCAAGCATATGGGGGAGGGAATCCCCCCTATACACTATCCCGTACAAGGGTAGAGAGCCAGGGACACACTGCTCAGCCAGTGTTGGGTAGCAGCAAGCACAGGGGAAATCCCCCCCCACACTTCCCTCCAGGAACCAGGGGTATCCAGTCTGGCTGGAGCAGAACCCAGATCTCCTAGTCAGCAGTAAGCAGGAAGGAGTGGGGGTGAATCCCCCCACCATTTGTCTTCACAAGCACAGGGGGCTACAGACACTGTGCCTTGCCACAGCAGAGCCTGGGTCTCCTGGGCAGCAGCAAGCACAGGGGAAGTAGAAGTGGGTAATCTCCTCAGAGCAGGCTGTGCTGTGGCCAGGCAGGGTATCCCCAGCTTCCTGCACGTGTGCAGGGAAGGACTAGGGGGAAGGGATTCCCCCTCCCCACTTGCTGCTGCTCAGATCTAGGCTCTGCTCCAGCCAGGTAGGGTGTCCCTTGCTCCCTGAACTTATGCAGGGGAAGTGGCGGGGGATTACCCTCCATGCCTGCTGCTGCCCAGGAGACCAGGGCCTCACTGAACTTTTGTGGAGAAGTGAGAGAGGGGTTTTCTCCTGCCCTTCCCAGCTTGCTGCTGCCTGGGAGACCCAGGATCTGCTTCAGCTGGGCACAGTGTCCCCAACTCCATGTGCAGGTCGGGGGAGCTGGGGTCAGATTTCCCCCTACCACCATCTTGCTTCCTGGGGAAACCTCAGGGATCCTGGGGATTGATTACTCTTTAGTAGAGTCATTTATTTTTTTCAGTGATGCTGCTGACCAGCGAGAGCTCCCCCAGCTGGTCAGCAACCACAGTGCAAACTGTTATTCCTTTTTTCTTCTTCCTGACAACCTGCCCTATACAGGTGCAGCCCATGGACATGGCGCAATGTCTTCATCATGCAAGGAAGGCAATGCTATGACTGGAACAACATCTAGAGCCATCCTGAAGGTCTATACCATGTACACTTGTTTTACAGAGGGACCCACTACTACTTAATAAGCTGGGGAATGGAGGGGTACCAAGATGTCAGAAAGTTGAACGGTGAAAGTCAGCCTCAACCCACATTCGAAAAATATGAACCAATGGGAAAAAAAAAATGAATGAAATGTTTTATTAAGCATTCCACATTTGAATTTTTAAACTAAATTTTGCATTTGTCACTAATCTTACCACAACATCATACAGAATGATGTAAACTTGATTGAGTTTATCTTCTGGTATTCCACAGTGCAAGAGTATAGCTTTCAATAAGGCAGTGTGGTTCAGGTAGATGCTGTAGTTTCTTTCCTAAGAGAAGAGAGGAAAAATACAATATTTATGGGCATTCCAAAATGTAAAATAACTTTTCACTTTTATCCAGACTAATTCTGAACCTCCCTGTTATCTTAGTTTCCCCTCTGTACAGTCCAGAGCTGGCAAGATTTGTGCCCTTTTTTAACACCAACTTTAGTATTGGTATCAAGAGAGAAACATTCCCTTGAAGGAAGAGAGCCATTATATTTCAAGTGTTCTACTGTGACATCCTTTGCAAAACAACTTACTGTTCACTGGAAATATCATTTGCAAAACATTTTTCAGTCACAGTGATTCAGTTTTCAATTTTTATCAAAAGTCGAAACACAAAAATGTTTTCATTGGCAGATAAGAATTGTCTCTCTTAGTAGTCATCTTTGCTGGCATATTGCCTTATTTATGATCTCCTCTCCAACAAAACAACACATTATCATAAAAGTAGCTAGAGAAAGAAAAAAGAATATACTAGTCAGCAGAGCAAAGTGGAGGAACAACCTGTAGAACTGGAAATTCATGGATGATTTCTGAAATGGCATAGATTGTTTCTGCTATAGGTAAAAAGCTATTTCCAGTGGAAGTGACAATGTCAAATGCACATTCCAGGATTTCTTTGGGGTGACAACGGTCTAATCTCCGAGGCCTGAAAACTCGCTCTATACAATACCTACAAAAAACAAAAGGATAAATCAATACATATAGAGCAGTCATTGTGTTGAACAGTTATGTGAACAATGGGCAAATGTTAAACCTTTTTTGGATGAATAGGTATTATCCCTCTCAGCCATTTCCCTTACCTTTTCAAGTTTGATATACTATTTCTAGCTACAAATCTTGCAAAAGGAATCTGTAAGCACAAAAAGATTGTTGAGATATTACATTATACATACAGATATGTGTGTATATAGACACACACACGCGCGCTTGCACATACAACTTCATTCCGACTTGTGCCCTTAGAATAACATGGAATTATACACTATACAATTACCCATTTATTCTCCCACCTGTGAGAGTCTCTAAAAGTACTGAAGTAGCTGCAAGTATCTTAGATGTATTTTCTAGGAAAATGCTATTTCATCCTTTACACAGACATGGGGAGAGAAGCACAAGACTTGCATCCAAAAAGCAAATACAGGGCACTATCCAAAAGAAGTAGCCATGCTCAGTTCCCAGTGATGTATTAGGAAGTTATAAACTGCAGTTATAAACTCAGTGCTGCTGAGTCCACAATATCCTCAGGAATCACTGCTTCCAGCAAGGAGATCAAGACCATGAGGGCCCTGCCTATCAGATACTTAGATTTTCCTTTTATTCCAGTGGTATCACACTGGCTTAAAACTAGCGTGGCAGTGGGGAAAATAAGACTTTTTACCTACCATTTATGAAGAGAGACACTTTAAAGCAGGGATGGGGAATATTTGGCCCACAGGCCGGATGCAGGTGGCCAAGGACTCCATTTCTAAGCTGCCCCTGCCCACATGGCTTGTGCCAGTCTCCATGGAGACCCCAGTCTCAGCCATGCCGGCAGCGGGCATGGCAGAGCAGCACAGGGGACTGCTCCAGAGCTGCTAGGATCTTGCAGCAGGGGCAGCTTGCTTCAGAGCCAGGGCAGAGCGGCGATCTTTATCCTGCACACTCTGGGCAGGGGCATGCATTTAGGGAATCGTGGCTCTGCCCCAGCTCCAGACAGGCTGTCACTGCTGCAGAGTTGGGGCACAGCCACGATTCCCTGAATGCATGCCCCTACCCGGAGGGTGCAGGTTACAGATTGTGGCTCTGCCCTGGCTCTGGAGCAAGCTGTCCCGCTGCAAGATCCCAGCAGCTCTGGAGCAGCCTCCTGTGCTGCTCTGCTGCATGCGCTGCTGGCGTGGCTGAGGCTGGGGTCTCCATGGTGCCCGGCACAAGCTGTGCGGGCAGGGGCGGCTGGGAAATGGAGTCCCTGGCCCACTGCATCCGGCCAGCGGCCTGGAGGTTCCCCATCCCTGCTTTAAAGGCTTCTAGCCCGCACTTCTACTTATAGAAGTGTAAGCTGGCAATCAAGTACAAGCTGGAAAAAATAATTTTGTGAAGAACTATTTGGATAACAATTACAGAGGAATCCAAGAAAGAAAACTGACAGGGACACAGTTAAAAAAAAAAAAAAAAAAAAAAAATGATCTGATACTACACACACTATATTGTTCTACAATGATAAGCTGCTATGATGTTATGCATATTATGATCATCATCATTATTATTATTATTATTATTAATAATAACAACAATAATAATAATAATAATGTTCCTGGAACTCCTATGTACACATGACACACAAAAGCAAACATTTCCAGATGACAAACTGTTCAGTCTCAGCAAAGAAAGAACCATCTCGTGTAAAGGGCAGACCCTGTCGGAGGAGAGAACAAGGGACTGTAATGGGCAGGTGGAACCTGCACACAACCCCTCTACCTTGGGACCTTCATCAGAGAAGCCTTTTCTGCTGTAGCTTTCACAGGCAGGGAAAAAATGTCCCTACTAACTTTCACTATAAAAAGTCAAGGTTATCTGGAAATATCTTGTCACTTCAGTTTCATAGCCAATTTAGCAAAGTGTCATTTTATACTGTCATTTTATACTTGATTTTTGTAAAATGATCAACTAAACCACAAAAGGCTAAACTGAATTATGCATCTGACATCTAGAGCAGTTACTGCCTAGCGGCATTGGAGAAAATCTATGATCTGACTGGAAGCAGAGGATGGCGACAGTAATTCTACTGGCATACCAGCAGCCTGTAGACCAGCCTGCAGTCTTCCTCTGAAACAGCATCACTAAGGATCTGTTGAGAATAGTTGTGAGCACTGCTGCAGGAACAACAATGCATATATACATATGGTACAGTACATATACATGGTAAACAAAAGGGATGGGGACATTATTATCCCGAGTTATATATGTGAAGGAATGAACCATAAACGAGTGAATGAAATCCTTTTCCTCACACAGGTGCATGCGAAGGGAAAACAAAACAAAACCTTAATGCTGTCACACACCACATCTATTGCTTAGGTGTTTTTCTTAAATATGATTTTTTAGAATGGAAAAAGCAGAAGCACTTTTCAGTAATTCGTTTTTCTTCTACTCAGAGGTTCATTGGGATGGTTACTACTGAAGACAAATACAGGGACAGATCTGACAGGACATGCTTCCTTGGAGTTGTGACTATAGTTTGATCACGATGCAAAAAAGTAGAGCTTGTATGGGCTACTTTTCTCAAGTGGCCCTTTTCCTGTCCTCCCTCTCTACTTGATCAAATGGTCATCAAAGAGGGAAAACTGTATCCAAGGGAAGATAGGAAGGGACCTGCATCACAAGATCCCTGGTAACAGGGAGGTAAAAGGGGACTCCTGTTCCAAAATCTTGATGCGCAAATCAAAGAAAACAACACAAAATATTTCCCAAACCCAGCTTAAAATATAGAGTACACAACTTACCCTGAGATCATAAGGCAGCATCACCAGCATCCCACTGTGATCCATGAAATATGAAGCTTCATTATGTTCATACAGTTTCCTGTTTCTAGGCATTAGCAGTGGGGTGGGTAACTTGATAGCTCCTGCATAATATTGGTAAAACAGTATTAGCACTTGTAAAAGATCCCAGACTTTGTTTCTTTGCTTAAATTACTATTAAGGAAATACTAACTATTACTACCTTGCTTTAATCTACATCAGCGGGGCTCAACCTCTGGCCCACAAGGCTCATCACAGGTCTGGAAATTGGGCAGCAGGGGAGCAGTGGCAGCGCTAATTGCCACTAATTTGCTCCCAAATTTCCAAACCTGTGGGGAGCTCTGAAAGCTGGATATTGTCAGCCTGCACACTAGATCATAACAGCGTGAAGTTGGGCAGGTGCAAGGGGTTACTCTGTGGCCAGGTTGGGGCACATGGAAATCACAGCTGCGAACTGACCCTAAGTGGTGACCCTGCATAGGATCCAGCATGCAGCCCAACCCTGTGCCACTCATGTGGCCCAGAAGGCTGGAAGGTTGGGCACTAGTGTTATGCAGTCACCTAAATAATACCTATAAAGAAACTCCTACTCTAAATAGCTCTGCAGTGTTGGTCATCGGAACAAGACAATTCAGTATACATTGAAAGACATGGGACTTAAACAGACTAAGATCTGAAAACCTCACCATAGCCCACATACGAGTTGAAATTTAAAGCCAGTTTCTCATATGTAAAAATAAAAATAAAAGGTTTTAAAACCTCAACAATTTGCATCTATTGGTCAATACAACCTTGTGTCTAATTTGCTAGTACTGAAATCATTGTACTAGCAAAAGTCCCTATATAAGGGACTTCTCTAAATCCCTTATATATAAAGTTATGCCTTAGGGAAAAAAGAAGGAACAATTGTAAATAAACTCACCGTGCCTTTTAAAGATCTGGCTGACAGTCTCACACACGTTTTGCTGTATCTTAGTTGCCCGAATCGAAAAACTACCCTGCAAACAAAAATCCCTTTAAAGAAGTAGCACTTATACACAGACTTAGATGCAGAAATCATCATATGAACTTCTATATTTACTAAATATAAGATGAGGTCCCTCCCCCCACCACCCTCAAATCAGCATGGGTGAAAAAAGCTCCTCATCTTACAACTGCATACAATGAAACTTCATTAAATACACTGTCTATCCCTTAAACTGCTGCCAAAAGCAGCATGTGCTCAGTAATGCAAATCAACTATGAAGTTGACTAAAATAAAGCCAACACTGAATGTGACTATAACACTTGGCCCATGTTAGTAGGGACCTACCAAATTCATGGTGGAAGTGGGCTGAGCAGCAATTCCTTTAATTTTGCAGGCTCCCCTGTATGCTCCCCACTTCTCCCCACCAATTGAAGCGAATGGCAGGGGCCCTCCTCATGATCAGCTGGGAGGCGAAAACTGTGGTTTTAAATATGGTTTTTCCCTCCCAGCCAGTCAGCAACAAGCAGCAGGGCCACTGGGGCCCCTCTCAGGCACCAACAATGGGAGGGCAAGGAGGGAGCATGGGGGAACCTGGAAAATTAAAAGAGCTGCCTCACAGCCCACTTCCACCATGATTTGGTAGGTCCTTAACACATTAGGCAAGCAAAGAATAGGTTAATGCAATCCACCTGAATAAGACTAATGCCCATTGCGCGTAGTCCTTATCAATGCTCTTTTTTAAGCCATGGTGAGCCACTACACTGCGTGTATTTAGATTTCCTCTTCACTCCCACAGCTGAGCTGTGCCTTTCAATAATTCCTGTTTCTTCAGAGCCTTAAATGTATGGCAAACATCACTAAACAGGGTCCCAAACAGTTCACCCAGAATTCCTGCACTGCTCCCTCTCTCAGCCTGTAGCATATGATTATCAGGGATCCAGGTTTTCTGTTTCCCACAGAAAAACTGAGTAAAATGTGGATTTCCCCTTTTACCCAAGAAAAACGCAGATTTCTTTCAATGGAGAAACACAGATTTTGCACTTTTGCAAAGAGCTCTCTGTAGGCCGGCAGAGTCCCAGCCTCTAAGGGTGGCAGGAGGCAGGGAGCATCATATGCATGTATATGCACATGGCCACCAGACAGTCTGGAGAGCAGCTCCTGCAGGTAAGTCTGGCAGGGGAGAAGGAAGGGGGATTGAGGCCCCCATAGGGAGGGAGGGAGTTGAGAAGGGCTGGGACTGCTGCCCAGCTGAGCAGTGCATGGGGCTTGGAGGCCAGGGCCCCAGCAAAGACCAGGATGGGGCCATGGGCGGCTTGTCTTGGGGGTGGAGGTGGTGGGGCCAGCTCCCTGCCCCTGTGTCCCAGATTTGGGCGTGGGGCGGGCTACCTGCTGCAGCCTCAGACTCCTCATCCTACTGCCCTTCCCCGCAGCCGAGCAAGCAGGACTCAGCATGGCAGGGCACAGCAGGGCTGGGTGGGGAAGCTGCTTACCACTGCAAGCCCCACATCACCCTGGTGAAGCATCCCCTGCCTGCCTGGCAGCAGCAGGGGCAGAAGCGCGAGTAGTGTCCCTTGCTGCTGCTGGGGCATGTAGGGTACATGTCACCAGGGCAGCACAGAGCTCGCAGCGGCCAGGAGTCCCTGCCCAGCCCCGCTCTGCCCTAGGGTGGCCATCACAGAGGACAGTCTGGTTGTCCTCTGTTCATACGAAACCAGACTCCTCCATTTTTGAAGGGAAAAATAGAGGACGTAAAGGCGTTGGGTTTTGTATCAATAGAGGACAGAGTAGCAGAAAATTGGAATGTCCTCTATGATGGCTACCCTACTCTGCCCTGCTGCGTGGGGTCCCACCTGCTGGGCTACGGATGCTGTGAGTAAGGGCAGCAGGCTAGGGAGCCCGAGGCTGCAGTGGGCAGCCCACCCCGATCTGGGGGGCACGGGTCCCCTCTGGCCCTCCAACAGGAGTGTACACAGTGGTGGGGAGCCAGCCCCCCCCCTCCCCCAAGCCCATAGCAGGGAGTCTGCACCTCTGCACCCATGGGCTCTGGCTCCAGCCATGCCACCTATGGGGGAGAGAGGGCCAGGCTCTGTGCTGCATTGCAGCAGCTGTTGTCTCCCACAGGCGACAGCCGGGCCTTGGGTGCTGCTGCAGGGGGCAGGAGGCTGTGGATCTGGGTCCCTGGCCCCATAACCCTGGCAGCTGGGGCCCCCTCCAGCAGGGCTGTGGCTTGGGAGTGAGGGGCCTGGACCTGTGTTCTGTGAGCTAAACGGGCAGGGGAACTCTGATTTTTTTTATGATAATAAAATACCAAAATCAAATACCAAAATTTATAGGTTTTTAGAATTTATTTTATTATAGTGATTGAGGCACTGGTTGGCTTCCACACTGCTTTAAAATTGTAAATATCTCAATAAAACATTATGTTTAATTGATACCTATAACACACACACACACACACACACACACGAGTGGCATTTCATTTTAATCTCAGATTTGGGGGGTTTTATTAGAGAATTTGCAATTTTTTAATCAGAGAAAACCAGGATCCCTGATGATCAGTGCAGCCCTGCCCCCCCAGGTTACTCTGTGCCTCATCTGCAAATACATTTTTAGAGGATCCCAGGATTCATGACAAGAACACCCAGTTCCAGTCATAAACAGGGGCTAATTAGCACATGCATCCTTTGTGGTGGGTATCTGGAGTCCACACATACTGGGAAGTGCTGAGTTATAAAAGTTGTAAAAGTTTAGAAATATTTTACAAAGTATTTTAGAAAACCAAGTTTTAATTGTTATCATTAAAGGGCTGATCTGAAAGGGTACAACACGGTGATGTCCCAAAACAAATATATTCTATTGGTACTCAGATACAAGTGCCATTAATGCAATAAAAATTAAGAATAGGAAGCAAATGTTCCCATAGTCAGACAAAGTCTAAGTTTTTGTTCAAATATAGGATTGTCAAATAGAGTAGTTATGAATTAGATGAACACATCAGAACAGTGAGCCTGATCTAACAGTTTATTAAGGGACCCCAGTTGAAATATTAATCATTGTTAGAAATGATCATGAAAGGCAGGCTTTCAGCCTTATCATATCCATATTTTTTTTAGCTGCAACAATTAAAAAAAAAATTAATTTGAAACTAACCTTTAGCACATCGCTATCATAGGTATAGTCTATTGCTGGGGAGATGCGTTGTGAAAATATCTGACTCATCATAGTCCTGTAAGCTTTCCCATCAACGTTGGCTAAGGTATGGTGAAGTACTTCATGCAATTCAGACTCCTCCATCTGGGGAGGTGGGAGGTGTTCGCTCTTTAGCAGCTCCATGGCAGTTGGCCGTGCTGCAGGATCATGATTCAAAAGCCAACTAATAACCAATCTCTACAAATTAAACAAAAAAAAAAATACCATCATGTTAACTTTTATCAAAAGTGGCATGGCAGGAATGTTTTAGATGGCATTACCAGTTACAAGTTAGTAAAATTAGGGGCTCCATAGAGAAAGCTAATATTGAATCTTGTAAAAAATGTTCTCTCATTATTTTAATACATTTTACTGATACAGTGGCAGAGTATATAAACACCACAAAAAATTCATTACTTCTGTCACAGCTCTTAGGGTGCTAGGTAATGATATTATAACTGAAAAAAGATGTAAAAACTTCAACAAAATGATGATTATTATACTGATTAAGAGACCACAGACTATCTAGTAAAAAATGCAACAAGAATTCTTAAACTATAGATACAATAAAAACAAGAATCTTAGGCTAGGGACAGGCATTTAACAGCAGCACTGAAAAAGTGCAGGAAATCTGCAGCATTAGAAAAATGTAGCAAAGGGGTGTGGGGGCATACAAGTGTACCAGCTTCCTGGCTGAAGGGCTACCAAGTCACCTCAAAAGCAAACTCTCCAGCCAGGGGGCAACCAGGAGCTGCTTGTTGGGTAACCCTGCCCCTAAGGGTCCCAGCAATTAACAGCCTGTCCTCCCCTCTACTGGCGAATGAGGTAAGTTGTTAATGATTAGTTGGCAGCTGCTCAAAAGCAGCAGCTACCACAGACAACCTTCTCACCCTGTAAGGGTGGAAAGGGGCAGGAAGAACTACTCTCCTTACCCTGCCACAACTGATAGTGTTGCTGCCAGAGCTCTAGGTCCGCCAGGGCTCTGCCAGTGGAGGCTCAAATCTCCCCATCCTAATGCTAAACTCACTTACCCATTCCACCAATTAGCAGAAATGGTAGGAAAAAGGAAGGGGCCAAATGTGGCCTATGGAGGCATTGCATCTGGCCTGTGGGGCTTCCCACAGGTCAGGAAACTTGGCAGCAGGGAAGCGTGGCCATTAATATGGCCACCTTGCCTTCTGCCAAAATCTCAAACCCTCTGCGCCTGGTCAGAGAAAGGATATGTCCCTTCCCCTTGTGGGCCCAGGCTATACACCCAACTCTGAGGCTGGACCCCACCTCCTTCCCTCCCACAGGGCCAGGCCATGGACCATTGCCTTGGGATAATGGAAATTTCTAGATGATACAGAGGAGACTGTATGTTCTGTTTTAGGTGAGACAGTCCCAGTTTTCGGAGGCTGGTCCTGGCTGGCTGCTGGGAATTATAATGGGCGCCCCAGAAACAAAGGGGTGGGGGGCACAGACTGGCTGAGAATCAGAGCAGCATGAAGTAACCTGCAGGCACACACCACTTTCTGGCTTCCACGCAGCCTGCCCCCACTGACTTAGACTGTTGAGGGGATGGGGGGTGGGCGGCATCCCAGATTTCCAGGATAATGTCCCGGATTTCCATATGGCCAGCCTAAGAGGAGTGTATAACCAGGGGTAGGCAACCCCTGGCATGGGTGCTAGAGTGTGGCATGTGAAAGCATTTTGCTTGGGATGCACACCTCAGGACAGACATCAGTGAAGGGGAAAGGGTTATGCTGACACAACAAGAATTGGGCCCCTTGCAGCTCCCCCGCTGTCCACCCCTGGCATGCCAACATTTTATGAGTCAAGGTGGCAGATGATTTTGGCACTCTGCTCATAAATGTTGCCAATCCCTGGCACAATGATTGTATAGCACCCTGTTCCTGGCTAATGGAATGAAGGCCCAGCTGAGAAGGGGTAGGGGGAGGAATATAAAAAAAAAAATCCTAAGACTGTGTATGACTCCACTGAGCTCCAGTTGTCTCCACTGCCAAAATGAACCTCTGGTGGCCACTGCAGCTGGGCCAAACTTATAACAATACTTTTACCTCACAAATATTTCTTCTTTTCTGTGACACATTTTCTGCGTTTGAAATAAAGGTTAGACTAACTGCTATGCAACACAGCTTCAATTTCAGTTTAAAAGGTATAATTGCATAGGAGAATTTTAGTCCAGATCCTATTGTGCCTCTAAGGAATCTAACTGGCACCTGCTGACTTTTAGACAGCTAAGGGCTCATCTGTGCTTTAACAGCTGTATGTCTTTTTCCAAGCACACCCCACCAGGTTTGCATTTTGCAGAGCTACAGGCAAAACGCAAACCTGAAAGTACAACAATGAGGCTGTTTAGTGGTTGTTACCAACAACAAACAGCACTGGGACTAGAGGCCAGAATTTCCCTCCCTCTCTCCCAGGAGAGTGCCTCTCTTTGGACTAGAGTCAGGGCCCCCTCCTGCATTTTTAGATGCTCAGGAAGCCAGCTTCAACAAAAGGGATGAAAGACATCCTCAACCCTGCCTAGCCTGTAGGGTAGGGTAGATATAGGTTCATACCCTATAGGCCTGAGGAAGACTTATAAAACAGATCCTCCCACTTCTGGGGCAAGTGCTCTAACTTGACATCTCCCTTTCTGAGCAAGTTTGATCCCAAAAAGATGTCTGAGCCTTGCCCTTCTGAGCAAGTAAAACTAAGCTAGATCTATATGTGACTGAAGTTTAAGAGACCCTCCACTGAGTATAAGAGTCACATGCCTCCCTAGGCAGAAGAGGTTGTCTTTGGAGTCACATAAGGCTTCTCATTGTCAGAAAGCAGGATGGAACAGGATTGGCCTCTAGGGGAACACTAGACTGCTCAGTGACAGAATGGGAGAATGACATCTCCCTGGGTGAACAGGACTGAACTCCAGAGGTGAGATATTTACTTTTTGAGTAGTGGCAGCAGAATAAGATCTAGGCCTTTGTGTTTTAAGTATATGTAACGTCAGTTGTAGTAATTGCTTTATCCTTTTGAGTTTTCTTTTTACTTTGTTCTCATGTCATGTGATAATGACTTGGAAGAGATTACTAATCTAAAATGAAGTGAAAAATAATCATTAACATTTCTTAATATAGAATACCTACTAATTAAAATGACTGTAAAATTACCTGCTTTGCATGTTTCACTTCATCAAAGTCTTCTGGAAATACAATAGTAGGCTATAAAAGATAAAATACATTTGAATTACAGTAGTGAATCCAACTTGGGTGAACTAACCTTATTAAAATATGTATATACAGAAGACACAGTAAAGTCTAGATGTTTTTATTACTCAAAACCAAAAAATGCAGTTGTCATAATTAAGGTTGTCAAGACAGCACTCCACTATTATTTATAATTATTTATGGGGTTTTTAATACAAAGTAAAAGACAGTCTCTATTTTTACAAGTTACCCAGTTATAAAGAAAAGTCCCCAACCTGTCTATGGCAACAACCCTCTGGAAGAAAATTTGGAGATAGTGAACACACCACCCCCTTGATCTCACAACATTCAAAAACTTGTCTAACTCTATCCCAACTATACAGTTGGCCCAATAAAAGATATCACCCTAAGAAATCCTTGCTTCTGGCATAATTTCTGGACCATCACAACTGCAACGCTCTTTCACTAACTTAATATGAGACAAACTCAAATGTCCATGGTAGCTATGCAATTTCCCATTTATCCAACTATAAAAATCTTTCAAGATGCAATATATAGCACATTTACTTGCAATATTCTATGCACTTTCCCCCTCTTACTCACTAAGGTATGATAGACACAGCCGCAACGATGTTATACATACAAGTCTTAATTGGCTCAGAACGAAGATCCTTTCTGATGCAGTACTCATAGGATGGTAGGACATCTCAAAGAATATTATCCCCAGGCTGAACAGGTCCACTTTCTAGGGAAGAAAAATTCAAGTAATGAAACTAATTGCAATAGTTATTTCTGACATGATCAAAGTAATAGACAAAAAATAACTTACTTTACATTCTCTTCTGGGAGTCCAGAAGAGCAATTATTCCTAATAGAAACATAGTTCATCATTTAGATTTCCCCATACAACATAAGTTCTATGCTATCATATGTACATGGTACTACAACTATTTCAAGTAACCCAAAACACATTCTAGCAAGACCAAAAATGGCAAAACTAAGACTAAAAAAAATTAAATTTTGTTTCCCTCTAGCTTTAATAGCTATCTTGATTTTTATTTGTTAAATTAATTTAGTTGTATAATCAAAGTTAAACAATGGCTACCGTGTATATTTTTAAAATTAGTGTACAGGGCTGCAGTATTTCAGCTTTTAAGCTTTTACATTTTAGTCATATCTGTACCTGACAATTTACAGATAGACAAAGTTTAGTACACAGGGACTTTATGGTATGTCTCTCGGAAGAGAAGACTGTTACTATTCACTCACAAAAAACATAGGAAATAAGACTGGGCGGGCTCTGGATATGGAGTACAATTCCCTGCTGTTGTAGCAAACTATATCATATAATCTTTCTTGAATTTTTAATGTTCTCTATCAAGATTGTTAGGGAGGTTGGGCTTTTTTTTTTGTCCTCAAGCTCCCATCAGAAAGCTGCTCCAGAAACCCAGTCCTCTGATGATTAGACACCTCATTTCAGGATTAGATTGATATATAATCAGTGAATACTCATATGTTCTTTTGCCAACTATATCTTTAAACTTGCATACTGCTGTATTTACTTGATTCCAAGGTGAGGTTCCCCCCCCACATTTAATGTGGGGGAGACCCTCGTCTTAGAATCATGGATTCTAAGTGGGGGGTAGGCGGCTGCTATGGCTCGGGCTCCAACCCCTACCCAGGGTTCAGGCTGTAGCTACAGCTACTTTTTGCCCCTCTGCATCCCCCCGCATACTATATCCCCATTCCCCCACGGGCCCCTCTCCCTTCCCCCCCTCTTGCCTTCGGTTTATGCAGAGAGGCTCTATGCACACTGCAGCCTGGGGTACTGAGCACAGCACCAGCCTAACACCAGAGCAACCCACAGGGCTGATATGGGGGACTGGGCTGGAATTGTGCTCAGTGCCCAAGACTAGAATAGGGATAGAGCCTGCTGGCATGGAGCAAACGCTAGGGGGAAAAGGAGGACAGCAGATGCTGGGGAAGGAGGAAAGCAGAGGCTGGGGTGCCAGATAGGGAGCAGAGGTACCAGGGGACTGGCGCAAGCAGGGGACAAGTTGCTTGACCTTCCCCCACACATCACCTGCATCCCCACTCCTGAAACAGTGGGAGGGATGAATTAAAGAAATCCTCCAACAATCAATCTATACATGGAAAATTATAACAAATTTATAATTTTTTTTTTTATGTATAGAATCTAATTATTGCAGATAGTCTTAAATACAGTGTCATCTTACATTTACATAAATATGGTAGGCTCTTCTCCCTTTTTGGTGTTTAATTCCTTGCTGTGTTTACAACAGCAAGTGTAGCCCTTCTCAACCTTTGATTTGTAGACTATGCAAGACAAGCTTTTTTAGTCTCTTCTCATGGGTTAGGCTCTTCATTTCCTTGATCTTCCTAGTGGTATCTCTCTCCTTGTTCCAGTCTGAATTTATATTTCTTGAACAAGGGAGATAATAATTTTGCACAGTATTCCAGATTTCATCATGTGTTTTATTAAGTCATATTAATATTACCTGATTATATGCTGATTTAGTGCTTCCTTGGACCTCTGGGCTCACGTATAGTGCAGTGCCAACCATCCCTGTTAAGTTACCTGTAAACATACTTAAAATGTTAGTTTCAAAGAGACTGCTGTGGAATATAGCAGCAAAATGGTTAAGAAAATATAGTTTCCTTATTCTTTAAATAGGATTTTAGTACAAAGAACTGGCATGACTTAGAAGATTCTCTTTTCTTTTGTATGCTATGCATCTTTTATTTATAAAATTGCACTTTACATGCACAGGCTGGACAGAATGGATGAAAGTTTAGCTTGATCACGTAGAGAGCTCTGAACACATGTATCCCACAGATGGGAATTTCACTAAACTACAGCGGCAAGGGTGGATCCAGAGGGGGCGGGCAGTACAGTCATATCCCATTTTGAATATGCTGCACATGAGCTCTCGATGCAGAGTCTGGCTGGAGCCCCTGCTTTCATGTGGTTCCAGAGCACAAGGACTGAGAGCTGTCACCATTCCTCCTTTCCCTTGCTGCTGGATTCAGTGGGAGCAGGAGGAAGGTGAAGGGCAAACAGCAGATATTTCTGAGCTCCAGTATGTGTGTGTAGGGGATTGGACAGGAGCAGGAGGGGGAAGGCATCTCCCCTGTGTTCCTGGATCTGCTGCTGTACAGAAGTAAACGGAGAGAAAGGTGAATTCATTTTTCTGCAGATGCACTGGACTTCTCTCCTAGTATAGCAAATGCAAAAGGATGACTGAACAAAATAAACCTGAATTGAGAGGGTATGAGTTTTATAATCCTTTTCAGCAATAGAGACTGGAGGATTTCACCTCGTTCAAGTACACAAAGCAAAGACCATTGGAAGATTTTTCTTGAAACTAGTTTTAAATGTAAAAAATATATATTTTTAGATTTACCCGATGGGTCAGGCTTAGTGAGACTGCTGTCTGAATGATCTTCCCCTTGTTTAGAATCAGCCTGAAATGAGGGGGAGGAGGTGGGAGAAGAGAAATTATACATCTATTATTTAAAAGATTTTTGTTGGCTTTTTCAGATTATCAGTTTATAGTTTCATGATTGCAATTAATATAGTAATTTGTTTGGAAAATTATTTAGAATGAAACATTTTAATTATGTATTAGGCTGCATTCCTGAATACAAATGTACGAGTATGACAGGCTCCCAAGTTTGAAAATTTTGGCTTTAACTTAAAAAAAAAACAACAAACCAAACAAACAACACACTCGCTTCAATTCTAGATAATGATAAAGCCAGTTAATGAGTAAGAAATGCATTTTACTCTTTGGCGCATGTAGGTATGAACACAAAAAATGCCTTAAATTATGGAGTCGAATTAAATTAAGTAGTGAAATAAATAAAGGAGCTATGCACATTTGCTGTTATTTAATATGTTCCTGCCACATTACTCCTACATCAAATAAAAATGCTTTCATGCAGTTTCTGATATTGTTTGGATATTATGATAAAAAAAAAAACAACTTAATTTTACTTAACGCACTTACTGTATTTGCTGGGTGATCTGTAGCTAACCCAAAATCACCAATTTTCACATGATCCTCAGAATCTAAAAAAATGTTTACAGGTTTCAAATCTCTGTGAATCATTCCCTGTTAATGAAGTTAAAAAAAAAAAAAAAAGAGAAGAATGAGAAGGGCTGGATGCATGTGTGTGTTTGGTTACGTACCCCCACACACCCCGCCCCCTACACACATACCTATCTATCTAGATACATGTAACCTCTCTTTTATAAGTCGCTATGAAACAGTATTAGCAATGACCTCTTTTGGATCTGTATACAGTCTACAAAATTAGTGATTATTATTGAGATAATGCTTGAAGACTATAGTTTAGCAGCTATCAATTTTCAGTGGTAAAAGTTGTTTTTTTAAACATAACAATTTGCTTAATTAAGGCAAGTCTAGAGCAATTAATTAAAGTTTATGAAGCTATTTCAGATAAAAATGGATAATAATGGAATAGCGTATACAAAGAGACAAAACAAGACAAGACTTATTTTACAGACTCAAGACAATTAATAAGGACTCTAGATACTGTAATGTTTACAAACTTTTTCATGGATGTAAGCTAATCCATCCAAAATTTCTCGGAAAAGTCTCCAAAGACGACGGGTATCTTCACACAATGCTTGGTCAATAGTATCCCGTAATGTGCTCTTTTCACAATATTCCATCTTTACATGCAAAAACAAAAAAATTGCTTTAGTTAAGAAAAAAATGAAAGACGTTTATCTCTGAAAATATATTAATGCTTTACTCTGTTCTACAACCACAAAAAGAGCTGAGAGCAAATTGTATAGATCAGCTGTGCTCAGCCTTTTGGGGCCATGGACTGGATGTGTGGTGCAGGGCCAGATCATACCTTCTACCACTTCCCTGGGGCCCTCAGCTGCCTCTGGCAGGTGCCTGTGTGCCCAAATTGGGCCCCAGGCCACGCCTGTACACCAATCTAGCATGCTACCTGGCTTATTGGACTCTCCAGGGGTCTGGAAATTTGTCAGCAACAGAGTGGCAATTGGTGCCACTGCTCCCCCTGCTGCCAAATTTTCAGACTTCTGGGGACCCCTGCAGGCTGGATGGCATGAATCCACAAGCCAGATCTGGCCTGTGGTCTGGGGACTGAACACCCCTGGTTTATATCATTCAACAGTTCAAGTTGTTCTGTGAGGTCTTTATCTACCAGCAAAAATCATGAACTATCATCTACTGTTATTGGCACAACTTCCAAAATTCCAACTCTTATAAAAGAAACCCTTCCTTGACTTCAAAATAAAAAAACAAAAACTCAGTGGACCTCAAATCTAGAAGAAATACTGTTTTAAACTGTTTTCTTAAATAGTTCTGGACTGACTCCAACGGAAGTTGGAACTCATTAGTGATGTCCATGGTGTTCAACCTGGAGGCTGTAAGTGACAACCAGACTCTTGCCTTGTCATAGGGTTGCTACTGTAGCAGGTCATTGGGGTCTGAGTCTATCTATGTTGATTTGACTGGCTATAGTTTGAGGATTGTATTGTAAGGACATTCTATCACTGACCTCAGAGTAGCTAGCCTTAAAAAAAACCCAACCATGCACAACTTTAAAAACTTGAGCAGGAAATTGCGTAAAAAGAAATCATCCACAGACTGGCTTGTGTTAACCATTTTCAACTGGGACTACGAATTCGTAGTCCATTATCTGGACTAGCTGTTAACTCCAGTATCCCTCAAGAGGTGATCTGCTTTATTCATCCCAACTGATCTAATCAACTTAACTCTTTACCTCTCTGAGCAGGCTCCCCTCCTATCCCTTCCCGTCCCGTATAAAACCTTTTCTTTTCTGCCAGTCCACTCACAGCATCAGACCAAGCTCTGAACCAGTTAGTCTCTAAGATGCCACCCTACCCTACCCAACCTTTTGCCTTTTACATTTATTCAATCCGACCATGATCTTTAGAAATTAATAGGCTGTATTTAAGTTCCACAATTGGAAGTAGGTTCATAAGCAACACTGTGACTGCAAAACAGTGAAAAGGAGTGATGCTCCGATTAGGAAATTAGTCTAAGTAAAGATGGCAAGCAAGAGTTACATAAACACAAAGGGTGGATATTAATTCCTATCTCTAGTAACTAGGGGCCACTTCCAAAAAAGTATTTATGCATTAGTCCTCTCTTAACTGGACTGTGTGCATTTTTAATGTAATGTAATTCAGAATTGATCCGAACAAATGCTTATGCACATGTGAATTTTAGATTTTGCTATGCAACTTATGTCCTGCAGTACTTAAGCTAGAACAGGGGTGGCCAACCTGTAGCATGGATGCCACAAGTGGCACAGGCAGCCTCTGTGTGGCACACAGCAGATGGGTAAGGGGACAGGGAGTACAGGGGTTGATAGGGCAGGAGGCAGAAAGCAGAGCAGGAGTTCAGGTAGGGAGCACAGGGCAGGAAGCAGAAAGAGCAGCAGGTGAGGCAGGGAGCACAAGACAAGAAGCAGAAAGCAGAGCAGCAAATTGGGCAAAGGAAGGGGTTCAGGGCGGCAACCATAAAGTAACCCCACAAGATGTCTAACCTGAATGTATAGGTAGTGTATCGTCTGAACCACTGATACTTTATCTTCTTCACTGTGACTATTCTTTTCACTGTGTTCTTCATTCTACAACATAACAACAACAGTTAGCTAAACACAGAGAAGTCTAGCTCCTCACCCATCAAACCATTTTGGATTGTCAGAATACATTCCTGCAATCTGACTTTCCATGGCTGGATTTTGATGAGAATAAGACAGATAACACATGGCACATGTTCCTACCCATTAACACTGCTTCGAAATCTGCTTCAAAACATGTTCATCAATCATCTCTCATTTTCAAAATGTTAACACATTGCCTACTCCCTGGTAGTAACAGGCTAAAAGAACACAAAGCAACATCTAAATTTTATCTGAACCTCAAATTGCCTTATGTTAGAAAAGGAAAAAATATTAATGGAAAAATAAAGCATGGTCAAAACATTTAGAAAAGTAAATGTTGAATTCAAGTCCAAGCAACAACAACAAAATATACAAGCTATTTTTCAGTGACCAAAAGTGACTGGCTTTTCTGCAGTAACATTAAAATTAAGAATTGAAGGTTACACTAATGTACGATACATAGTTCCAAAAAAAGCATCAACAGAAGAGGGAAAGTGTAACTGACTTGAGGTCAAATATAACCACCAAGGCCAGAGATCCTAAGTGCTATAGGCCACTGGTATCCAGGGTGTGGGCCAGCATCAGGCCCACAGGGCTCCCCATAGGTCCAGAAATTTGGTGACAGGACAAGGAGAAACAGCGTTAACTGTCACAGCTCCAAGAGCTATGGCAATTAACACTGCCACTGCTCCCCACCACCAAATTTCTGGACCCAGGGGGAGCCCACAGACTGGATAACACTGCTCCATGGGCCAATTCAGCCCATGGTCTGTAGGCTGCAGGAAAAATGGATATATTAGCTTTTAAGTGATGTATTGCACTGATTTCACACAGCAAGTGGTGAGGGAGAGGATATTAAAAAAAAAAAAAAAAAAAAAATCACCACATCATCCTGACAAACACCCTCCTCCTCACTTTGTTTTTAAGTCATTATATGCTAGTAGTCATTATTTTGTAAATCAATAACTTTGATTAAAACAGCACAGAATTTGAGTTTTCAAATGAGACCAGGTACTAAAAATCAGATATAAAAGCCCTGAACCTCCAGGAATCAATGCCTACAAGTAACAAAAGAGTAGTTCTATTTCATTCAATGCACGATAGGGGAAACTAAGATTATGGACTGCCCATAACCAAGACACCACTTTTTTTTCTCTATTATTACAGTAGGTAGCTTAATAGATTGTGCATTATTGGCTTTCAAGGGTGATACTCTGGAAGGTGTACTACCAGTACTGAGGAAAGAGACTGAGCTCAAGACAGATCTGTGTTTTGTAATGTATAGTCTTATCTCCTCTTCCAAAAGTTATTTCACAAAAACACTGTCAGTATTAAGTAATATAATATTTACCAGAGAAGGACTTTTACTATTTTCACCTTCATTATCAAATATGATTTCACTTTCAGAATCCGGGGTTGGTCTGTTCAGAAAAAACAAAAAGTGCCTTTTTGATTATGTAAAACCACCCATTTTGCAACAGTATTAGAAGGTTATTTACTGTAAAAGTAGAAAATCTGAGTTTAGAGTAGAGACATTTTTATATTCCTTACAAAAATACACCCAAAAGCGTGAGGTTAAATATAACAGATTAGTCCCATTGGTTACCATTATTGAAATGAAATATTTAAGGTACTTAAAATGGAATATTTTATTTCTATACCTTACGGACAAGAATTCACTTATTTTAATAAAGTAACTAAAGACCTCAAAAATGAACAAAACAAGAAAAGATCCTTAAAACTTGTGAAAACAGAAACAGTTTTATGCAATGTTCTTTTAAAATTACAAAGCACAAAAATGAGATATTTTCAGAACTTTTAAACTATTTTTATGTTGCTGATTACTCAAGGTTCATTATAAAAAATATGTCTTCAGAAGTTCCATATCCCACCAATGACAAAAAATATAAGGCACACGTAGGGAACAGGTAGGGAATGTCTGAGAAAGAAACTTCATGCTTTATCTATTTTCCTTACCTTAAAATCAAGTGATCTGATCTTCCTCTCCTACTATTATGCCAATTCCTGTCACCTAAATTGACTTCTTCTATATGATGTGACTTTGTCTGTGCTCAGCAAGTAGCCTTGACTTTGTTTTTGGAAAAAACTATCTTACACCCTTAGCCTGCAATTATGTGAACTACTTACAGGAGTAACCTTCCTCAAATGCTTGCTTGCAGGGCAGACACCTTGGACTTCTTAGTTTTGTTCTCTTTCTTCTAGTGTCTTATACTGGTAGCAAGGCTAATGATTTATGCAGAACAGCATGTCACATTTTTGTTAAGTTGGGAAAACTCCAAGAGGACAAGCTGGAGTGGTCCTACACTCTGCAATTACACTGTTTAAAAGACCTCCCTGGAAGCTTAGGACTGAATTTCTTTTCCTTCTTATGCTGCAAACCTTCATCAATTTAAAGTGTGTGTGTGTGTGTGTAAGAAATTTAAAGAAAATCTGCCTTTTAATACATTATCAAAACATGTACCATGATAACTACCCACTTAATGCCAATACTAAAGCCTACTTACAAAAATGACTGTGAGAACACCCCTCCACCATCGTCGTCGTCGTCATCATCATCACTAGATTCTTGATTAGCTCCACTAAATTTATTGCTAGAAGATCTTTCACAGGAGGTACTCCACTCAATAGAACTGGTCAAAACAGGGGGAGGGGCATTAGCCTCCACTTCATCCATAGTTTCTCCTTCATGTTTCCCATTAAGCTCTAACTTGGTGAAGATTTTTTTCTCTCCTGTAGCTTCTGATGTTGATGCACTCAGGAGGGGGCTCTCATGTTTTTCTATCCAAGCATTGTAGTATCTCACAATATTCTCATGGTTTAGACGAGAAAGTAATGTTACTTCCCCTTTAATTCTCCGAAACTGCTTGCTGGTAGGATTTATGTGAATACGTTTCACAGCATAACAGCAGCCATCAAGCTTATTTTGTACCTGCCAGTTAGAGCAAATTTAACATTCACTATCAGAGCCCATGCAAGATGCCAGAGCAACAGCACCAATGAATCAAGTTCTCTATTCAAGCAACTGTAAAGTTCACTATGTTGCCTCACTAAAGCACATTTATTGTGCACCCCCAGGACTGTCATCAACAGTGATCCAGGTTTTCTGTTTACCATGGAAAAACAGGGTAAAACCTGTATTTTCTCATTCCAAGGAGAAAAACCTGGATTTTCTCCTTTAAAAGGAGAAAAACAGAGTTGGGCCCCTTGCCATTGCAGCGTGGAACTCCAAATAGCAGCAACAGGCTTCCCTGCCCAGTCCCTCTCTGCCCTGCCACACCGAGTCCCAGAGACCCTGGGGGAAGGGCAGCAGCGGGGACTCCTGATCCCCCAGCAGGAAGCCTGCTTCTGCCACTCTGATGGGCTCTGTGCTCCAGCTGTGCTGTCCGTGGGGGAGGGGGAGCTGGGCTCCGGGCTCCACTCTGCCACAGCAGCTACCACCTCCTACAGGTAGCAGCCAGAGCTCAGATGCTTCTGTGGAGGGTGGGGGCTGCGGACTGAAGTCCCTGGCCCCATAGCCGTGGCAGCTGGGGGCCCCCTGCAGCAGGGCAGGGGGTGGGGAGTAAGGTTCAATGGCATAGGCAGGGCACTGGCATATCAGGGCTGCTCAACACTACAAAGCAGTGCGGGGGGTGGGGTGGGGCGGGCAGCGGCAGCTGGACCCACATCCTGGTGAGTGAAGGGGGCAGGGGGAGCTCTGATTTTTCATGATAAAAACCCCAAAATCAAATACCAAAATGTATAGGTATTTAGATTTTATTTTATTATAGTGATTGAGGCACTGGTAGGCTTCCAAACTGCTTTAAAATTGTAAATATATCAATAAAAATTGTGTTCAACTGATACCTATATATATTATAGTGGCATCTTATTTCAATCATGGAAAAATGTGAATTTGAGGTTTTTAATTGGAGAATTTATGGGGTTTAAAAAAAACCCAAAACAAACAAACCCAGAGAACTTGCGATTTTTAAACAGAGAAAACCAGGATCACTGGTCATCATGATAAAAGAGCGTTTAGTTCTATTCAATTCTCTGTCTCTGCTGGGAACTACTGATTGTTATAAAGTAGGACTGTCAAATGACTAAAAAAAATGTGATCGTGATTAGTTGCATAATTAAAAAAATTATTTGCAATTAATCATGATTTTAAATCACATAGCTAAAAACTCGAAATTATGTTCAGAAAAAGTCAAAGTTATGTAAAATGATGTAGGTACTTTGTATGGTTGGGGAATGGGTGTGGGGTGGGGGGGGAGATGTGTGAAGGTGTAGGGAGCTGTGGGTGTGGGGTTTGGAGCCTGGGGTGGGGGGTTCCTGCATGCCCTAGCAGGATGTAGGGTGCTGTGGATCAGGAGTGAGGGGCAGCAGCAGAGCGGGGGAGGCTGTGACTTGGGAGTGAGGAGCAGACACACACAGAAACAGACACAAAGACACACACAGACACAGCCCAGCAGGTACATCTGTGGAGGGAAGGGGTGTGGGGGAGGGAAGGGGTGGGAGGGGTAGATCAGTTCCTGCATGCCCTAGCAGGATGTAGGGTGCTGTGGATCAGGAGTGAGGGGCAGCAGCAGAGCGGGGGAGGCTGTGACTTGGGAGTGAGGAGCAGACACACACAGAAACAGACACAAAGACACACACAGACACAGCCCAGCAGGTACATCTGTGGAGGGAAGGGGTGTGGGGGAGGGAAGGGGTGGGAGGGGTAGATCAAGGCCCCCATGGTGAGGGAAGGAATGA